TGCACTAGAGCAGTTGAAATAGCATCTGAGAGTAGCTTAATTAACAGACTATAGTTTCAGGAACATGCATCTTATAACATATTATTACATCATGAACATATGAATAAAACTAATAATGACAGCGTAGATGAAAAATGTTATTCTAATACAGGTATATCAACATAGAATTTCTATATAGCTAAGCAAAAGGTCTTACTATAAGAGGGAACAAGCCTTACCATATGAGGGAACTAGTCTTAACATACAAGGGAACTAGCCTTACCGTGTGAGGGAACTAGCCTTACCATGTGAGGGAATTATTCTTGCTTTGTGAGGGAGTTAACCTTACCATATGAGGGAACTAGCCTTACCATGTGAGGGAATTAGTCTTACATTGTGAGGGAGTTAACTTTACCATATGAGGGAACAAGCCTTACCATGTGAGGGAACTAGTCTTACCATGTGAGGGAACTAGTCTTACCATATAAGAAAACTAGCCTTACCATATGAGGGAACTAGCATTACCATATGAGGGATTTAACCTTAACATACAAGGGAACTGTAGTCTTACCATGCGATGGAACTGTAGTCGTGCAATGTGAGGGAATTGAGTTTTACCATTTGAGGGAACTGGAATCATACATTACCATGTTAGGTGACTGGAGTCTTGCCATGTTAAGGAACTTGAGGTTTACCTTGTTAGGGAACAGAAATCTTAATGAGCGTGCCAAGGTCCTTGTATAATCTTTGTAGTCTTACTAAGTCCGATCAGGGACTTGATTATCAAGCGATTTTGATAAAATTAATCACTTACGTGACTATCACTTCCTGTTTATCATTTACCAATCACTGTGTTTCCTTCTTTAATACGGTCAGCAGCAGCTCCAGCAAGGTCATCAATCCATTTCTCCATCACTTGTCATGTGACCACTGACAAGCTTACGTCAGCAATGTATATTGTTATTACCATCTTCGAAATACAACTACTCATTTCGTCACTACGGTAGGAGAATGATTTTTATGTGTTGTTTTGTATTAGCGTAACGTAGTGGTTTGGGGGTTAGTTATAATTATTAGCCACTAACCCTATTTTACTTTTCTGTTCACTTCTCCATGTTGTATTTCAATTATCATATCAGTTTTTTTATCGGCCACTTTTTTTTAAAACTTTCATATAAAGAATCTTAAAGTAAATCACAGTTCAACAATATAGTATTTCCAGATATTTGAATAACTCTGATCTTTTGAGTTTTGTGACAAATACTTCGAAAACTCATAATCTATACCAGGAATTGCAATTCATAATTTACAAAATTATTTATGAGATAATTTGTGAGATACATTCCAATAAAGGCAATGATATTACATTTGATGGAATTATTATTGCCATCCGCCTGAAATATCGTCAAATTGATATATATCGAATAGTTAAAAAACAGCTTTGGTACTAGCCGAGAGTATGAAGCGTTGTTACAAAATTATATTGCATAATCAGTTGTTGCTGGTAAAAAAATGTTTTGTGATTTCGAAAAATATATCAAATTATCGCTAGATAATGAAGAAATTTTACTCATCAATTTGAGAGAGAAAAAAAGAATTATGTATATAACAGAAACCGGAAGACTAAACAGTGTGTATATTCAGAGCTTATGAATGCTACATAAAAAAACCGTAAAGATCCTTTGTAAGTTTACCATTTCTTTTTTATTTAGGAAACCTCATAAATGCTTTTCCACATTCATTACTTTTTGTTTAATCATTGTCCGCCGTATAGTTACGTAATATTTTTGTTTAAGTACTATAACTATGTTTTCTGTCCAGTATAGTTACGTAATCATTTTGTTTAAGTATTATAACTATGTTTTCTGTCCAGTATAGTTACGTAATATTGTTGTTAAAATATTGTAACTATGTTTTCTGTTCAGTATAGTTACTTTGTATTGTTGTTTAATCATTGTAAATATGTTTTCTCCTCCGTATAGTTACGTAATATTTTTGTTTAAGTATTATAACTACGTTTTCTGTTCCATATAGTTACATTATATTTTTTGAAGTTTTGTAACTATGTTTTCTCCATACATTGTTGATTTTCACGAAGAAAGCGGGTCCTAAACAAAGTAATTACATTGTGGAGGGAGAACAATGTACAAGGTGGGCGGGGTTGGAGAAAAGGGAAGTAGGTAAAAAAATGTCTATGTCTTTATTATATGGTGATGGAAATATGATAAATGTAAAAGGCATTTGGGATGAGGATGCCGAGTACATGTGTGACTAGGAGATCAATGATTTGATGGGGGAGGTATGCATGATGTTCCGTGGTGTGGGATGTTGTAGGCTACAAAGGGAAGGTACTGATGAAGGGGGAGGGGCGCATCAGAGTTGAAGAAGAGTAATAATGAAATGTTGTGTTGAGTCATTTTTAATGCGATGTGAAATGCTTTATCTTAAAATGTACGTGTGCAAAAGTGGCTCATCAATGTTGTTGATTTTAGAAAATGGAGTGAGAAATGGCATGAAAACATGTATATAGATATGTCCGAGATTGTCGGCGGGTGTCACTAGGTGTCTCATCTCCTCCCTTGGTAACGCTGATACCGGCACAGATAGAAGATGACGTTGTGTAGATGTTGTTCTAGTGTCACCAGTAAACTAAGTGTATTTAGAGAACTTTGATGGAATGTGTTTGCGTCAACATTGGAGTTAGGAAAGTAATGACATCTTGGTGATATCAGAATATTTTTCTACACAGTATCGTGAAGTTTTCTGAACATAAAATGTCTGAAGTGATTATATGCAAGTTAATTATAACATCAAAGTTACGCTTAAAAGTCACGTCATCACCACTCGAAATTACAATTAATAGAAACTAAATAAATATGACATATATTTAGAGTATATTATATGTATAACAATAATTTATCCATGCATTTCATTTCTGTTTTTTTTTTTTTTTTTTACAAACCGATTAATATTTTTACTACATTAACATTTCGTAGAAAACTGGCATCGAATTTATCATTTACATACCCTGTTTTGTAGAATTGTTAAATGCAGTGTAGTGTACGAAGTCCGTCAAAATCTCGACTTAAATAAATTGTGTTCCTTTTAATAAGTCAAAATCGCCAATTAAACTTGCAGCCTTTGTTAAACGATATCGTTTGGGTATAAACTCGACCAGAACCTACTGGTCTCAATAATGACCCAGCAAACAAGCGGATTATTTGTGCTATACCGCAGGAGTATATCAAATTTTGTTTGTGTAGTAAATAATCCGCTAAAAAGCTTAAAGCATCATTTCAACAAAGACATTATATACAAAACGTTCTTAGATTATGTAACAGTTAAATAGTATGTTTTGGCCCGGGTGGGAGCTTACTTGTTAAAGTGCTATAGTTAACTATTTATAAAGTATTAATACCTAACTTGTTTTTTTATCAAAAATATCATTGAGCAGTCAAGTGTTGGTGTGAGATAGCGTGATTACACACGAAAAATTTCATTATTGTAATCATGTATTTTAGCAAAGAGTTAAAGGTTAAACAGCATTGTTAGGTCATTCTTCAGTAATTTTTTTTTTTTTTGACGTTTCTAGTATCTGTGTAAACAAAACTAATACATCCCTATGTAGGCCGTTTATCGGATTATGATTATAAACAAATAAATATATATTAATAATATTAGTTTTAGTTTAAAAAATTTCTTTGGTATATTTTTATTTGTTGAAATTGTCCCATTGTCATTAGTGTGATACTTATCTTGATAAATAAATATCAGACACATTATAGTATTAATTTATGGTAATCTTACTGAAACTGGAAATAACTAAAAGATCAAGTAGACATTTTTTATGGTCCGCCTTTCTTAGTGAGAGACTGTTCAATTTTTATAACACGTAACAATGAAGACCTTTATCTTAATCTCTCTACTTTCACTTTTAAGCAGTGTTGCTAACCATTCTGAATATTCCAAAGATTCCAAATCTTTGATGAGTTTTCATTTATTTATACGTCCAACAATACATGGAATTCCAGAATATTTGCGGATAAATTTATTTTGGATTTGTCAACATAAATAGGCCTTTAGAAGCTAATTCAACTTGATAATTTGGAAATACAGATTCATTAATATGAGATAAATCAACTTTAGTTTGATAGAATAACAATTACAAAATTGTAATTCTAATGCTGAATATCATTTTCCCTTTTCCAGACATTTTGAAGTTTCTGATTTTTTTATATTTGCAAACATATTTCTTAAAATGAACTTAATAAAGAATATTCATCGTCATATTGTTGATGTGTATTTCCATTTCTAACTGAAGACTCGATACAGGATTTAAAAAGATTCAAAGATATATCATTAATGCTTGTGGTATTTCAATGTTAAGTAGACAAAACGAAAAGACATTCATTGTTTTTCAATCATATTCATTAATATTTCGACAATAAATTGTAAAATAACTTACACATCTAGTCGGTATAGTTGGGAATGACAACACTTTCTATAATGGACTGTCACTGTGTCTGTGCTTATTTCACATGTTACTGGCGACAGTTTTAATAAAGCACGGCGAAAGTTCGCTTCATATTTCAGCACGATAATATTAATGTTTTTGAAATATTTCCACGGTGTCCCAGGAAACCGATTTATCAGCACGATAATTGAAATTGTCACTGAAATATATTTCATCCATATTTCAGCACCTGGTAAATTAATTAACATGGCACTATCAGAGTTTGTGAGGGTCTACACATCCCCTCCCCACGGGGTCCGGAACACCACACGTCCACTGTCTAATCGTCTGTATCACATGTGTTCACTATCTCCCCGTCACCGCCGGGACGACTCCTCCACAACACTTTCGCGTGTTAAACACATTAACTATAAATATAACTATGAACATACTTTGGTACATTAAAATGAATACTGACTAAGAAACATTATATGAGTTACATTAACAATAATTAGACGGAAAAAATGAATTTCTACGTTAGAACTTTAAATACCCTTGCGTCCTCCCTCTATCTTGGCCAGCTACCGAAGCCACAAGCCTGTATGTACTGGCGGTATTTCTCGATATCGAGAGCATTCAAGTTCGGTATAGAAGCTTGTAGTTGTGCGAGAAAAGCAGAGTTTGTAGATGGTCTACCCATGTCCAAAAGTCCCGGCCGAAGTCCAGGCATGGCACTGGAAAGTGAAAGTCCTGCTGCCGGTCGGAATGAGGATGAAATTGATGATGTATTTGACGATGCTGAAGGCGATGACTGTGATGATGATGATGATTTTTTACTGTCTGTATTGCCCATGATACTGTCTATTGAGAACCCGGACTTGGGTGGGGAGGTGGATGATAACACGGGACTAGGCGTGGACGCCACGCTGTGTGGAGACGGAGCACTCAAACCCCTGCTCAAATGGTTGGAAATTGCAGAATCCCGAAGCGTGCCTGAGAATCCCAGCGCCAAAGCAGGTGGTAATGCTGGTCTGGTGCTTAACTCCCCACCTTGAGGGAAGAAGGATAGATGTGAAGTCATGAGTGGTGAAATATACGGGTATGGGACACCCGTGCCTGGCATGGCCTGGGAGTGATGAGGGTGTGAGTAATGGGCATTCAGGAAACTCGGGTGATGGAAATATGGATCTCCGGCGGACATGAAAGCTGTGGGCTGCTGCATCACGTCAGGTGTGGACCGTTTGTACCTTTTTCTCCTCCTCAGGAAACTGCCATTGTCAAACATGTCCTCACTACTTGGATCAAGGGTCCAATAGTTCCCTTTTCCGGGGTTCCCTGGTTCTCGCGGGATCTTTAGGAAACAGTCATTTAGAGACAAATTATGACGAATGCTATTCTGCCATGCAGGGAACTTGTCACGATAGTAGGCGAATCTATTCTTGATAAAGTCACAAATTCCAGAAAGTGTTAGTCGTTTTCTCGGAGACTGGAGGATAGCCATGGTGATGAGAGCGATGTAAGAATATGGAGGTTTAACAACATTGCCTTTCTCTCTTTTCTTATTTTCCTTTAGACTTTCATCACTGTCATTATTTCCATGGCTTTCATCACTTCTGTCAAAAATGTCTGAATTTTCTGGAGACATAACAGGAGAAGCAGAAGTATCCATAAAGGATCGTCCACTATCATCGATGTCAATTTCTTCGTCGTCATCATCTTCTTCCTCGTCGTCTGACAATTGTCGCTTTGCTGACCACTTCATTGCTGAGTCTATACAGTTACCATTTTCTGCCTGAACTTTGACCAATTTGTCGTTGGTCAGCTGTTCTTGTTTCAGATGCGACTGTAAGTAGGATTGATTATCTGGCGTTAGGGCAAGCCCTTCAATAGTTGAACCATCCATGTCAAATTTCATTTCAACAGTATTTTCCGAGTGTCCATTCACAATCATTTATAAATTCCGTGTAAACGAATTGTTCCTCCACGTGGGTTATAAAATAACACCAATTACTTTTTACAGTATAAACCAGAGGAGCTGTTTAGACGTCGACACTGTTGTGAGTTTGATTAAGAAATGTCGGATCGTGTCCATGCGCGAGCTTAATGTATTTACAAATACTGGATAAGGTTTACAAATGATATAGCAGGTCAACACCGTCAGGGTGTTTGACAGTGCAATAATACCCAAAAATGTCAATAAAATCTCGCCGAGCCTATCTCATCCTGAGCACGTACCGCCCATATTACAAGCCCAGCACTTCTATACGCCTGTCGTACTGGAGAGTAACGCCCCTTTTCGGCGGATAAGCAAACAGAGAACTACACGCCCACTATCACACTATCGCAAAGCAAACTTTGCCTTACAGGCTGATCGGTTTACAAGGTATATCGTAAAGGCGTCAAATAGAAGCAATTCTGTTACAGTCTATGCTGTACATTGTTAACTTCTTATAGCAGGTGCGTGAAAAAAATCAGTGTAATTTTTTTTTATAATTTATTCTATATACGCAAAAGTCGCAAGTTATTTCATCTGTATAATTTCAGGAAAACACTGGAAACGATTATATTGCGTAAATATGCTTAAGTCAATGGAAAATGCAATGCATTACACTATACTTTTCATATTGTTTACTGATATTTCATATTTATATTTCATTCACATTGTAATATACTATAAAAAATGTGTATATTTCATATTGTATTGCACATTGATTGCATTTATTTTTTGTAATATTGGTGGCTTTAGTCTGAAATAATGCACTTTTTCTTTACCAATTTCTAAACAGCCTTACTAAAAAAGTTCAAACAAGATAAAATTTATTTAATGTTGATACTCGAAACATCACCTCTGAAAAATCCAAAGTTCTAATATCGATAAGCTTTAGAAATTTCCATGAAACGTGACAGGGACAAATCGCGGTTTCTGACCCTAACAACTTCATCTTTATTAATTTTATTGAGATCAGGACATTCAAACATATGTTTCAAAATCGATACACCTTTAAAATATATTTTAAAACGCACAGACGATCTGTTTTTCATTCCTAAGTTAAAAGTAGAAAAAGAGTTCGCGTTTTTCCGCCGCAAAACATCCGGAATGATCCTCCGTTTTTATCACTAGTAGAATCAGGTTTTGTTTTGTAACAATAACATTTGGTTAATTAGCTTTTAAAGTCTTTCATGCAATAAAGACACAATTTTATCATATATCAAAACTTTTCTGTTTGTAATAAAGGTACTCTCATTAACCACAAACAAAAACAAAATAATGCTCAAACTTACTTGTACAACAAAAAAAGTAATAATGCTAATCAACAAGAGCGATATTTCTGGTCCAAATGTGACATTTTATCAATGATCTGCGAACAACGGAAGTATTTATCAAAAATACAAATTGTTTAAAATGAAGGTACAGAATAAGATTTTCATCGCGCGCCATTCCTAAATTTGAATATAAACTGTAACAGATATGATATTTACAGAAGAAACAGAACTTGACTATTGTTTTCCTAAGTTATGCAAAAGATGACTAGTATTTTTTCAGTAATATTTTCATATATTTCCTGTTATTATTATTTTAAAAAATCTCCATTTCTTAAAGATTTCGTAACTCAAGGACCTACAACCTTCAGATTTTAACAGTTTTACCGGTTTAATTGTATTCAAGTCTTACTTAGGTCAATGGTTGTGAATTATCACTACGTAATTGTCCATTGTGAACAATATTGGTAACGTTAAAATATTGTCTACTATGCATTAATTTGATTAACACTTGTATGAATGTAGCAGCCGATAGTTACGAGACACTCACCATTTTATTTAAAAATACTATTTATGTATGTTTTTAACCAATCAAAAACAAGATAAAACGACACTTCATCGCTATTCACAATACAAAAAAAAAGGAATGGAATATTTTTTTATCCTTTTCGTCGCCTATCATTAACGCGTTCACGTACTGCTAAATACTCTGATGGTCAATTACGGACACATTTGACCGGGGATTTAACTGTCCCTTTTCTCATCGTTGCTGAGTATCCATGTCTAAATTTGTTAGTGTAATCAACAGTATCATATTGAAATTCCGACCCGGGCGGTATTGTCATACAAATTATAATATATACTATCCGAGAAACAAATAAAAAAGGAACGATCTCGATATAATCAGCAGAGATTGATGATTGTTCCGTCAAAGACAATTTAGTATAGATACAATCTAGCTGGTAATATGTGATCTCAGCCATCTTTATATTAACACCAGTAAACTACATAAGCAATTAATACGGACAAGAAAAGCTCTCCATGATTAGACCAGACATCTGTGGAGCGGTAGATCTCAACCGTGTTTTCCTGCGATATGGACCAAGACTAGCGCTGGTTACCGACGGAGCTACCAGATTTTGATGAACCTTCTCAAAAAGTGTGATCGTAAGATAGGATCGTATCATGGTCACGAGAGACGCAGGCGGATAGGGCCGGGAGAGACCCGCTGGGATGACAAGGTGGTGAAACAGATTATCTTATATCCCCCTGAGTTTGATCACAACCTGTAGCATCTTCCTCATATGAAATGTATCAACACGGCTAATTAACGTGTTTGGTCGTTACATAAATTCCCAGCGTGCGAAGCTATCGAGGGAAAGTTGTTGTAGAGACTCGAGTTTAGTCAGTTAACCTCACTATGAAGGGGGAAAACAGTTTGCGGAGAAAAGCCAAACATTGCATACTTATCCTGACTAGAGCGCGAGAAAACAGTTTGTAAAGAAAAGCCAAACTCAACACTAACAATGTAGGTAGAAAATGTTTGTCCATAATAACATATATACGGTGTCAGCTTTTCATAGACACACGCTGGGGTTTACACGTAATGAAATGTACACTTTGGGGGCTAAAAGGCGTAATTGGGCGACAAACAACGGAAGACACGGTAGCTAGATAATCGACAAACGCCCCTCATTCAAGCGCCTCAAAGTACAGAGGGCAAACAGATTACATCAGGGATGACCGCCCGTGTTCACAACAATGTTTTTGGTGGACACTTGTAACAATGTGTTTGGCGGTAAATATTTACACATTACCGACATTTCGATAGATACACTAATACAGTACCACTACCAGATTAGTGCGGTACAAAAGCCAGGTAGGGAAAAAGGGCTCAGGTAAATTCTAAAAAGCGAACCGGAGAAGGGGACGACCCGCAGAGACGGAGAACTGTATTAAAACTATGGCGAAGAGGGAGGAAGCACTTATCACACAATTGATTCTTGTGGCGATTTTTATTGCATGACACCTGCGAAACGAAAAATATTGAAAGTATTGAGGCCCAAATAAGTCAATATTTATCTGCGCTATTGTAAGTTGGTATCTAAAGGGATCGTCCTTTATGAACAAGTGCAGTCCGTACCCTGCCCGGCTATCATAGCTGTTGACACAGTTCAGCACCAATGTGTATATAGACCCCCTCGTAAATTTGTCAAAATTCATTCTTATCAATGTTCTCAGATTCTGCCATCAATATCGTAAAGTAGCAAAATTACATGGAATTTTTATATTCGGGTATGACACTACATGTACTATCTCCGGTAATAAGTTAGATACACGACCATTGGTGTTGATCAAGGAACACGTATCATCTCTCTTAAGTCTTATATTGTAGCTTATGATCTTCTACTATATATTATCGTGCGCTTATCAACAAAGGCACATTGAGAATTATTTCCAAAGTTATGACAAAGCCCCAATCGCTCTTGATGGGTTGACGCAGGGTCCTTATTCAAATAAACACTGAAACATATACTCCCTGTGTGATTTATTTAAGAATTAAAGGCACTGTTTGTAGACTACACCAAGTCGACATCCGAAACGGGTCAGGTCGTAATCCCATTTGTTAGTTTTGTCAAAACCTCATAGTGATTAAACGAAAAATGTCAAAGTATGTTTATATAGCAGGCTTAAAAATCTACCGCAAAACGTTGACCTGTGATAAAACATTTGACATGGGAAATGGAATTAGACGTTAAAAAGTTTCACATCATGGCAAAGTTACATTAGAGTGTGAGACTGCCCGCGATATAGAGTAAAGCACACTACGAACTGATAGCATACTTCATGGTTATCCGTTGACGGAGTTAGAGAGTGTTTTTTTCTGCATGGATGCAAATGTAAATGTAAACAGATAAATTTAGTTTGTCTTTTTTAAACTGTCAAATCATTGTCATTTCCCATGGCTGTTGGACAGGCCCTGTACGCCATTAGGAAAACAAACACCCAAAGTCAACCTGTTGAATATGTTATTATAGGAAAAAGTACTTAAGTACTCTGTTACTTTTCATCTGTTAGTGATCAACGTCGTTTGAAAAAAGAGTCCAGATTTTTTGTTACCATTGATGTTTTCACTCTACCATGTACAAAGAGCTTCATATAACAGATAAAACACTGGATGATAACGAGGCCTCCGACATTTTGACACAGTTATTGTATTTGTCAATATAACGTTTTTATTTCGCCGCTACAGAACTAATCGTCTTTGAAAAGTTTAAATTGTTTTGCCGTTTCGACGATTCTTGTAAAAGCCGATCTCTGCGCATGTATACGCATGTTTATTTAAGCGTATACTCCGATTTGTACAATAGTAAGCGCACTAAAAGTACTTTTGTGAACCTAAATATGCTTTGTACCAGTAAGTAAAACTAAAAAGTATATTTGTACCCAAACATAATTTGTAACCGTGTGTTTAGTACTCCTTGCCATACATATACATACTTAATATATATCTGTATCCATTTTTATCTACAAGAGGATATCTAATAACCGTATATATACTGAGTATACATACTATATATATATATATATATATATATATATATTATGCAACCATATAAATATATATCTTAATTCAGAAAATACATTGTAACTATATACAGAATGTATATTCTATACTCCTAATTGTAC